GGGGTAAAGAAGTCATTCTGGCAAAAAGGTGTGGAGACCGGATCCTGGCAGCACTCCAGCCTCCTTCCAAAGCCATTCAACCACCACAACTAGACAACCAGAAGGAGTAAGAATAGGGAGGCCAAGTTCTCTGTGTACAATATACGCCTTGCACTGAATGCCCATAATGTTCTGAATTCAGTTTTTATGGGCATCCACACTGGATTATTCCCTTAGTTGATTTTTGGTGAAAGTCAATTCTCATCCTCAAATTATGAGTGAGTTCATGGTTTTGTTTTCCAAAGGTGGCAGCACACAGATAATTCACAACCATGGAGAGGGTTGGAACTACCTTCTTCAGTGGTGGCAGCTTCTTTGTTCCATTTTAAACTTTGATTAAAATGGTGGCTGCTCTGTCCAGAGCGGAGCTCTTTTTGTAGCCTATGACAGTGGCAAAGTAAATTTTGAAAAGCATCGGCGACTTCATTCCAAGAATGATTGGAATAATTCAGCAAGTATAAAAGGAGAAAATGTATTTCTTGAGAACTGCTCAAGAATGGTCATACAAAAGTAACAAAGGAAAGGAAAGGATAGGAGAGGAGAGGAGAGGAGAGGGAGAGGAATGAATCAGCCCAGCCAACCTGAATTTCAGAACCTATTACAGAATGCTGAGGCTAGATTTAAGATCAGCTGGAAGAGACTTTAATGGGAGGAGGGACTGTGTTCATGGAATGGCACTGTGCTCAATTTGTGGAGATCCCGTCTCCCCACACACAACATACGAGCTTGTAGCTCACCCACTCATCACTGCAACAGTGGTGCAGACCATGTCTTCAGACTCTTTCGGTAGTATTTTCGGGAAGCCAGATAGGCTGCTGTGGGAAGGAAGGAAGGAATGGGAGAATCAACTTCCACAAGTGCAGTTGACCAAACTTAAATCTGGGCGCAACATACCATTTTTAAACATTATGTTTAATTGGTAGAGACTTACAAAGAATACCTTGAAGAGAAATAGGACTTTTCATCTGATGTGCTTCTTAAAAAGTGGAGGAAAAGCAGTATTTGTGAAACTCTGCCCTTCAGTATTTGTGAAACTCTGCATTCACCTCATTTCCTGGAAAATTCACCTGTTCATCTCCCTGCTACCTTTCACAAGTCCCATCTCTTTCTTTTGACTTCTTTGGGGCAGGTTACTCAACCACATTTCCATCTCTTCTACATTTAAAAAAAAAAACCTTTCCATACCATCGCATCACAAATGTCTTGGGACGGTTTAGAACAAATTAATACAATAAAATAAAAATGAAAGAGTAAGAGTTGCACATAATCCGATGTTAAAATAAAACCACTAAATAAAATAGGTTAACAACATTTGGTATGTTTGATAAAATAACCAAAAAAGATCATGCTAGAGCTGTTCTTGCAAATTCATTTTTGTCCATGAAGTCCTCATAGTGTTAGGGCACACATTAAATAGCAGTAGTTTACTCCAGGAGTAAGTCTAGGACCAACTCAATTGACTTCAAACAGTACTGGAAATGCTGCCTCCACACAAAGTACTTCTCTACTAAAATTACTGATGGAATAATTTCTTGCTTCTTTAAGAGCATAAGTGTGGGTGTGTTCTTTATTATCTTTCTAGTGATACATAGCTTAGGTGTACTACTGTCTTCATTAGACATACATGAAATCAAGATAATTCATTGTTTGAGGTCTGGACATTATGGCAATATCTCTCCATCTGTTTTTGCTTGTGTGAGTGAGATAACCATTGGAAACACTATGAAATCATTTTAAAATGAAACTCTTTCATATCTAAGATGGGAACGTTAGCCTAAATCCAGTTCATGTGATTCCACATGCTTTCAAAAGTAATGCTTTTTAGGTGAGATAATCATAGAATCATAAAATAGTTGGAAGGGGCCGGAGGGTCCAACCCCCTGCTCAGTGCTGGACTCCAAGTTAAGCCATCCTTCTCAGATGGCTGCTCAGTTACATCTTGAATGTCTGTATCTCCCTAGCTTATTGGCTGTATCGTCATACTGCTTGAACAGTAAGGAAGTTCTTCCTGATGTTCAGCTAGAACTTGAGCCCATTATTCCGTGTTCTGCACTCTGTGATGATGGAGAAGATACCCTGTCCTGGGACTGGAAACAAAGCTTTATGAGGAGATATTGAAAGAACTGGGCATGTTTAGCCTCAAAAAGAGAAGACTAAGGAGAAGAGATGATAGCATTCTTCAAATACTGGAAAAAGGAGGGTATTTGAAGAATGCTACCATCTCTCTCTCCTTAGTCTTCTCTTCTTGAGGTTAAACATGCCCAGTTCTTTCAATATCTCCTTATAAGGCTTTGTTTCCAGTCCCAGCATCATTCTTGTGGATCTCTTCTGAACCCTTTCCATTTTGTCTGCAGCTTTCTTAAACCTCACTGCCCAGAATGGAACACAGTACTCCAAATGAGCCCTAACCAGTGCTGAGTAAAGGGGAAATACTACTTCACATGAATAATATATAACACTTGAAAGTAACACTTTACATAGGTGAAAAAGGATTTCCTCTCTTTATTTCTTTTTTAAGGGGGGGAGGAAATCAAATAATCTCTAGGGAACTTTTTTTTTTCAAGGTACTGTGAACCTTTTTCTCATTCTTTTTATTATTCTGAAGTTACATATTCTTAGAGTTGTACAGAAGCCAACTAAAAATGGTCAACATGAAAGATTAAAATAAATGTTATTTCAGTTTTGAGCAAATAGAAGCAAAACAAAAGCCATAAACTTGAAGTCCATTTCAAGAAAAGCAGCATGTCAGAAGCTAAAACCATAGTCTAACATTGCAATGATAAGCATCTAATAAGGCCCACCCTATGGGGACTCATCCCAAACAATTTCTGAGATTACAACTCTAGAATGTTATTAATTGTCATGAGCAGGTTGGTTCCCTCACTTTAGAAAACTCAAAATCAAACTGTAGAAGCATGGTGCTTTTCTTGAAACTTATCTGGTTACAGAACAGTATAAATGGAAGTAACTGTCGAGGGCCAGTTATATAAACATTCCACTCTTTGTAGAGCAATAAAACTAAAGTCCTTTAATGTTAATTGTCTACAAGATTTACAATTCTACAGATAAGTTCCCTAATAGCGGTCCTTGCTAAGCAGATGTCAGCCCTATAATGGCTTCTCTTTCTCTCTGAGTTCATGTGGGATCATTCTCCCAAGTCACGCCTTTCTTCTTACGCTGTCTACTTTGTAGTTGTTCAAATCTGCGTAAAATACGTCTGTTCTCGGCTTTTGAGAAATCTACGACACCTATTGTGTCTTCTGTTTCTGGAGCAGAGAGATCAGCATCGGGGGGGGGGCGGAGAGACAGTTTGCTCTGCCTCTTTCTGAGTAGAACTTGCAGCTTCCTCTTTCTCATGACTCTCTGTCTCTGATAAAGGTCCAGGCATTTGCTCAACATGCTGGGGCTCAGGGGAAGATGCAGTAGCTGGTTCAGCCATCCCTGCATTGGGTTGTGGGGTCGACTCTTGGGCACTGGGTGCCAAGTGCAAGGTCTCCTCATGAGTCACTGTTTCTGTCGGAGCTTCATGCACGACAGTAGCCTTCTCCAAGAGTTGTGGGAGAAGCAACTGCCCATGTAAACAACTGAATCCAAACTGAAAATTTCCTCTTTTCCTGCTTTCAGAAAAGCTTCTGACTCCACCCTTAGGATGAATCTTGCTGCTGGAGGGATGGGCAGTTGGAACATCAGATGCTTCTTCACTGGTCTGGTCTCTTCACCTGCCATTACCTGGCCAGGGCAAGGCATTCTTCCTGCATCTTCTTACCCTTCCACCCTGAAAAACCTTTCTCCCTTCCCTTCATGGGCAGGTTTGCACCCTCTGCCTGAGAAACTTCACCAGGTAACCTTGAAACTGTCAGCTTTTGCATTCCCTTTGCTCCTCTGCCTCCTCCTACCTGAGCAGACTGTGATGTGTGAGAAATGGGCTCCCTCTCAACAATAATGGAAACCTTTTCAAGAATATGAAAACAAGTTCCAACATTTCCGTTTATCACAGGAATGTGTCCATGAATGCAGATTACTGTATATACAGCTGGCTTCAGTGTAGCACATGGACCTCAGTCTTCAAACTACGTTGTGCAGGTATCTGAGATAAGGCCTACATGCATATTTTTGTAAGGTATTAATGGGATAATTCAAGACAAAATGATTAAAAGAAGTCAACAAAAATGGAATTTAATATTAAATAATGTCCTCATCCTAGTTTCATGCATCCTCAATATAATTTTATGCAATGCGGTTGTCATGTGACCCACAGAGAAGGGGTGGAACAGAAGGGGGGGGATGGGGTATTACAGAGATAAATGGTGGGGGTGGGAGAGCATAGTATAACCCTTTAGAGTTGCAAATTTCCAACCAAGTTGTCCCAGGCGCCACCTTTGTTGGGCTCTGCTCACACTTAACTATAGAAGTAAAAAACATAGATTTGGAAATTTATGCTACCTTACCCAATTTGTACTTCCTAGAAACAGGCATAGACACAAAAACAAGTTGTGATCAGAAATCCAAAATTCACAGGTTATATTTCAGTTCACATACCCGAACATATGTTTGCTTTTGTTAAGGTGAGGAAATCCATATCTTTCCAAATATAATTGTGCCAAAATGCATAAATGTAGAAAAATACATGTAAAAAAATCCTTGTGAGAAAAGGGAGGAAAAAAACCTTACAATCTGCTCTGTACCTGAGACAAGATTAGTTTCAAGAGAATCTCAATTTGCTCATGTTTGCATATTCCTGCATCTCTCTCCAGCAATCTTCTGGTTCTCTTGTCATGCAGATGCCTAACTGATTAAGCCTGAGGAATATTAGCCCCCAATAACAATAAAAAGCTTCCTAATTCCTGGTTTATGATATATAACATATAATGTAAGGCCTTGTTTTAAACTAGCTTTTCACCCCACCCCTTCCCATAACATAACCCCAGCATAAATTACATAATAGAAAGAACCACACTTACTGTTTTGTTATGGCATGGGCAATGCTGGAGAATGGTGAGAGAGCCTGGGAGAGCAGGGAGGGGAGAAACCTGGATCTGTCTGGATATGACCTGCTGCACCTCCCTTTCCATCCAAAATGCTGCAAGTAGATGGCAAACAGTCTGGCTGATTAGTAGAGTGGAAAGAGGCCAAGACCTCTTTTGTCACTCCTTCACCATGCATAGGACGCCCATCAACCTCAGAGTTCAGGTGCTTAAGGCAGACTCATTCCATTTTCTTTCCTACAACCAAAAGGAAAGAAAATAAGTCACAAGGTACTCATAAGAAATATGGTGGCTACCACCAAATCACAAACAAAGCGGAAGTCCACAAAATTCTACAAAGAACCAATTCAGTGAAGACTGATAGAGACCTAGTCAGTGATTTCCGTAAAACCATAATCAGCTTCCATATTTTGAAGTATGACTGGAGACAAACTGAACATGGCACTGGAAGCATTACTGGCTCCTTCACCTTCTGTCTGAACAGCAAACTCACAGGCAATCCTAGCCTCGGATCTGCTCTGTCACATTTAGTCTGGGCCTTGGCAGTTCACAGGAATCCAGACATGGCATGTCTGAAACTGGCAGATGAGACCTTGCCTCCTCACCTTCACCCAGCTGAAATTAAGGATATTAGAGACTGTTGTGTCCACTTGTTTAGCATCAGAGCTTGTCCCATTTGCACCCCAAAAGCAAAACACATTTTATGGGCAAAAGTGCATTTTGGGTTTAGGAGAATGTGCATTTCCATGTGTTAGTCAAGGAGAGATTCGTTCTGGGTACATGCTTTAACAATGTGCACCAAAATGGACACTTGAAGAACCAGAAAGTTTGAGCTGCTGATTCTCCCATGAGCAGCTGCACTGAGTGAACATGTCTGCGGTGTGGATGCAGAAAACTGGCTCTGTTCACATGGTGGTTGGTTCTACAAACATCACAGCAAACCATAAAAAGAAGCCACAGGAATGTCTAGCTCACCACTGCTGCAATATCTAAAAGGCACCACACATCACGCTTTTCAGTGCTTGACAGATATCAGCTTGGCTGCCTCTAAAATACCTTTTATCTTTTTTTTCTGGCTCCAAATATTTGACATCATTCAAGATACATGCAAGTGGGTAAGTGTATTTATTGTCTGCCTATTAAAAGACCAGTTGGCATTCTATGCTTGATAAACTCCTACTTTTTTTCTCTGAGAGGCTTTCCTTCCAAGGCACGTTGGTCACAAGTGGTAAAGTCTTGGAGTGGTGGTGGGATGCAGAATATTGAAGGGTGTTCAAATAACCCTAACCACAAGCCCAAAATCATGGACTTGCTATTATTACATTATATTTATACCCCACCTTTTTCCACTTGTGAAGAATCTAACACAGCTTAAATACTCATCCTCCATTCCATTTTATCCTTACAACAACTCTGTGGGGTAGGTTAGGCCAAGAGCGAGTGACTGGTCCAAAGTCACCCAATGAGTTTCATGTCTGAATGGGTCCTTAGTCCAACACTCTAACCACAGTGCCACAGTGGCTTTCATATGATGTGGAAATGTGTGTGTGTGTGTGTGTGTGTGTGTGTGTGTGTGTGTGTGAGAGAGAGAGAGAGAGAGAGAGAGAGAGAGAGAGAGAGAGAGAGAGAGCACTGCTTCAGAATAATATATAACTAGAGAGACATATACAGACATAGTGTGGCTAATGGTAATATAAATGCAGCACATTGCAATCCATCAAGAAGATCCATTGTGACATTCAGGATTTGGTTCTTCCTTTCCACAGCTGATGAGTAAGACAACAGCCACTGCCTTTTGAATAAACATACAAACGAGTTTCTAGGACTGGCATACAGTTGAGAAGAAAAGCTTGTTAGTCTCATTATCCAAGCATCTATGATTATATTGTCAAACTGAACATTATTTTGATGATTGGCATTCATGACTCATGTCTCTGCTTGGCAGACACCCAAAAAACAGATTTAGTGCTGGTTCCTGCTGAAGTTACAGTAGGTCTCCAAAAGTATTCAGTCTGTAGATCGTTCACAAAAGCAAACTGGAGGGAAATTAATGAATTAGGCAAAACATTCTCTTTTTGATATCTTAGATTCTGTGGGCAGCTGCTTTGCCACCATGCATATGGGGTACTGGACAAGATGGACCTTTGGTCTGAGCCAGTGTGGCTTTTATACTGTTCTTATGTTCTTCTTTTCAACTCCAACCCTACATTTATTTTAGAAGAAAATTTCCATCATATTAAAAAAAATGAACCTTGGAAGCACGCATTTCAAATCAAACTATTCTAAATCAATTTAATTGGAGTACTTGAAAGCTCTAACTTGTAATGATGAATTCTGAAATAAAGGAATATAGATTTCCATAGTTCTGCCATCATCAGATTTACAACATGTAATGAGATCCATTTCCATCAGTATGTTGCACTTCAGAGTTACTTCTGCAGGGGAAAGACACATGGATCGCACATTTGGAATAACGCTATAGTCCCCTCAAATGCCAGTGGGGCAAGTGAATGTTCTTTTTTGCCTCTGCCTATGAAGTTGGTAGTACTGACTTATGCAGCAACACTCATTGGGTCCTGGCATCTGCCATCTTGTTTTTGTCCAGATTGTGCCAATGGGAAGAAAAGTCTGTTTTCAGTGACTAAGCTCTTGCCATCACATTATCAGAGACAAATAAAGCTCAGCTCATTCCCCAATGTCCTCTTGTTCCTCTCTCTATTTGTTTCAGGATAAATGAAAATTTAAACAAATTTCCCCTATTAAGTACAATTTTCATTTAATCCTGAAAGAAATGCTACAAGATTTCCCTTTGCAAATCCAGAAACGAATCCAACCATAAACATGAAACACAAGAAGCTGCACTGTTATTTCAGTGGCCACTGCAATCTAGCCATCACATTTCATTTTACAAACAGTGTCCTTGTATCTATGACTGTCTGAATGAATTTCTATTTGATCCTTGTTCTCCAAATGTGAATTGACAGGAATATCCTTTGAGTGCTGGTCTCACATCTAGCACTAAATGCATTTTAAAAATATAATTGAGATTCATCTTGTCGCATTTTATATAAAAGCATAAATATTATTTATTCTACCATCTAATTTTGTTAGGATAAATAAGCAGGAAAGACAGCTAGGTGGAGAACGGCAGGTGGGAAAAGAATGGGATAAAGGCGAAACATAACAAAAATATAGACGAGATGTAGACAGGCTTATAACAGAATTATACTCATACTCTGAGATGTGAAACAGCTCAGTTTCTGGCTTTCAGCCAGATCAAATTAACATACTGACCTGACAGGTACTTGCATTACCCATGGCAGGATCAAGAGCAACATCATCTCTTCCCACTTAGAATAACATAAGAAATGTCACTGAATCACTTGGATCCATCAATCTCAGGGAAGTGAACCAAATCAATCAGTCCCTTGCACCTGCAAACATACAGCCAAGGCCAAAACTTTCCCAGGAAGTATCTGACCATTGCCAGTTATGACACTTCCAGATTATTCTCATCCCACCTGCCTAGATGTAAATCAGATGAGGTGGAAAATGTGAGCTGTCCAGAAGGAAAAACCAAACAAACCTCTTGTGAGCTGCTCTTCTGTGCTCTTTCAAAAAGCATGGGGAGTATATAGCCCTGCTAGGGTTTTGGCTTGGGTTCTGGTAAAAGTCTGGGAAATGTCAGTTCTTGTACCTGTCTATGGGCCAGGAAGTAGGTCACGTGGGTATAGAAATGAGAGCTGTCAGTAAATACCACTTGTGCTCTGAGTTTTGAGAAACTTTGCTACTGCATAGATGATACACATCCCTGCTAGGGTTAAAGCTTCGGGTTAGGGTTAGCGTTGGGAAAATATCATACACATGCATGGGGACCCATATTTCCCAAACCCTAACTTAAACTCAACCCTAACCTTAGCAGTGTGCAATGCATTTTTGTTGAAAGCCTACCTTTTCCATCTCATCTGGTCTACTTCAAAGCCTATTAATGTGGAAAGTGACTGTTATTTTCCTAATACTATCCATAACCTGTAGCTTAACCCCTAATGCTAGCAGGGTTATTTATTCCCTATGCATTTGAAATGTCTGGAAAAGGCAGTGCATCCAGAATTTTTGTTGACAGCTTGCTTTTTTGGCACCTTTTGCATAACTGATTCAGGAAAAGGGAAATTGATCGGTTGATATCAAAATTCACAATCCCTTTTATCTCTGCTTTTGCCTTCATATCTATTCTATAGCATGGTTCCCATCTCACAGAGCATGAGCTTAAGTGTATTTATTCAGAAGTAGGTCCAACATAATTCAATTGCATTCAGTGAAAATTAGTTCTTAGTACTTCATATTACCCCTCTTTTAAGAACACCTTTTTCTTATCCTTCTAATCCTCATTCCCAGCTGTGACCAAACTTTAAAGATGTATAACTGTCTTTGCCCACATTTGGTTTTTTTTATGCTTGATTTCTTTTCCCTCTTGTTGAATTTACTTCATAAGCTTTTTAGGGGGAAAAGGAGACATGTCTATGTTTGCTATACCATACCCACATCTGTGTTTGCCATCCTATACTCGCATCTATGAAAATAAATGCCATTGAAATCAGTGGGACTTGTCTGTGTAGACATGTATATTATTGTGTTGTAAAATGCCTATGCATCTCTAAATAGCTTCTGTGGTCCAAACAGTAACAATAATAATCAACAACAGCAGCAGAAGATAATAATACAGTTTTAGACATATACACTTCAGTTATTAAGCTTGATCCACACCTGGAGGTGCCTATCAGAGGTCCCACCTGTCCACCTCTATGTCCATTTGTGGATTATAGCAACAAGCAAACAATCTCTTTGCTTGTTGAAAAAATGACAATTAGAGAAAGGACCAGAGAGGCTTAGCTAGGCAGGGACCCCCAGTGTTTGTTTGTTTGTTTGTTTATTGAAAGCTTTTATAGACTGTCCCGTTACTGGCATCTTAGAATGGTTTACAACAAGCACAAATAAAATAAAAATGGCACAGCATCCAGAGATTAACTATTAAAACCAGAATCAAAACCAATTAACACTTAAAATAATGGGAAAATAAAAAAGTTTTCACCTGGCACCAAAAAGAAAATAGCATTGTCACCAGGCAAACCTCTCTGGGAAGCATATTCCACAGTGGGGAGCAACCACTGAGAAGGCCCTCCTCTAGGTAACCGCTCTCCTAATCTCTTTCAAGAAGGGCTTCTGAAGAAGGATCTCTGCCTCAGCTCTTAAGGAGTGGGAGGGCATACAGGGAAGAAGGCACTCCTTCAGGTATACAGGACCCAAGCCATTTAGGGCTTTGTAGGTCATCACCAGCACCTTAAATGGGACTGGACTTTAATTTGCAGCCAGTGTAAGCGATAGAGGACTGGCGTTATATGTGAATACCTTCCGATTCCCTTTAATATCCTGGCAGCTCTATTCTGAACCAACTGAAGTATCTGGGCCATCTTCAAGGGCAGCCCCACGTAGAGCGCGTTACAATAATCCAGTTGGGAAGTCACCATAGATAGTGTGGGTCACCATTGCAAGGCAATGCTCATCCAGGTAAGGGGGCAGTTAGTAAATCTGCCAAAGCTGCAGAAAAGCACTGCTTGTCACCACTGCCACCTGTGATCCAAGGACAGCTCTGGATCGAGGAGCGCTCCCAAACTGCCACATGTGTAGCAACTAAGATGTCCCTCTTCTGCATTCTGCCAAACCGATTTTGGATATCGGTGGGATGTGGATAGATGCTTTCCTATTATTAATGGGCATTCTCCCATCATTGTCTAATCATGTTGATGGTGCTTTTCCATTCCCCCAGCAGTATTCTATTTTTTCTTCATTAATTTCTCAGTATTGTTTTTAGACTGACCTAGAGCATCTTCATTTTGTCAGAATAAATTAATGTGCGAAGAGGCTCATTTGTTTGTGATTATTAGGGTGAGATCAGTAAAGACAAAGGGCATGGGACATTTTCAATTCATTCTGTGGATTGAAGGATAAGATGCAATATTGGCTGATTTTCATTACAAAAAGAAGGGGAGAGAAGTATAATTTTTGTGTTCTCAGTAAGTCCTGTAACATCCACCAGGGAGTTGTTATTATCTGCATAATGTACCGAGGCATCTGCAATTAGGCTTACCATTCATTTTAGTCTCTCTTGGTTTAAAGTCACTTTCACTTAAATCAATAACATTAAATTAGCTATTTCTGCCAGGCCACAAGATATGGGTTTTTTTCTCTCCTGATAACATTTAGCCAACCATTGTTTTTCTGCTATATTCTCCTATAGTGCCACGAAAAATCCAGAGAGGAAAAGCATCTATGACTTCCACACATAGATCATGGGACCGGTCCAGTGCCCTCCACTTCTGCATCATACTTTGTATAGGGATGGAAAGAGGGGAACTGCAGTTACTTCAAAAGCCATGGACAGTGAAGGTAGATGCCCCACTTCTGGCAAAAATAAATCAATAAATAGTCCCCCATTTCTGACTAAACTAGTGATGCTGCTACAAATGAACATCCTTATCCACCATCTCAGCTCTGCATTAAGGATGCTGTTTTTATGTAATTTGACTGAAATAAATGGGTAGAGATGGGAAAGGAAAGAATAATGAGGAAGTAAACAACCTTACTGAAAGAAAAGGGGGTCAACACTGTGGGGAGGGGGTTAATAAAGTAGCACGTCTCTTCAATCTCATAGATGCTAGTCATTAAAGAAGCAGTCATGGGCCCTTCAAAGAGTGGCAAGTGCAGAACAGACCTGCTAATATTTACAAGGGTTCAGGCAACATCCCTCGATTACCTGCAATAAGGGCCCTGTGGTTCTCACCATGAAATTCCATGCTCATAATAATGCCTGACCGTAGAAACTTAGAAATACAAAACACAGAGACATAGAAACAGAGTGAGTCAGAAAGGGCCTCCTGGGCCACCCAGTCTGAGCCCCAGCTCCAGCTGGCTTTGCTCATGGCAAACTTACCAATCTGGATGTCTGTTGCCAAATCTAGCAACTTGGTCCAGAACCTGACATGACTTGATGTGACCCTGTTTATTGTGCCACTTTGCCTGGCCACTCAGGCATATGGCCACTCTCTCATGGCCAGCATCAACAGTAGACATGGTTGGGCACCTACCAATGACACATGTCATAGCGGAGACCGAGAGACAAAAGTCTGCCAGAGTCACTCCTCTCCTTCACTTGTGTAACCTGCTTGTTTACCTGCCTGTCATTCTGGCCCAGACGATGATGGTGGTGAAAGTTCAGTGCCTGTAAGGAAAGGAAATGGTAACCATGAAAGAAAGTGGGGAAAAGCAGCTGGTGATAATCATGGTGAGAAGGTGGGGTCACTGAGGGAATGATCTCATTGAAATGTCTTACAAAAATCTAGAGCTAGAATGGAACTCACTGGAAAACACTTCTAATAGATCCACTACCACTCTCCCTATGAGCCTCAAGTCCCAGTGGATTGGGATACATGCTTAATTTTTGAAAGGGTCCTTAAAAGCTTCCATCTGATTAATAATCCCCATGATATTTGGCCATAGGAACACCTGGCAGACTACAAAAGCAGAGAACCTGGTGTTGCTATCGGGTTGGCTACTCTATAAAACTGAGGTTGAATTCACTTCTATGCTAGAGACTTACCTATGGAGCCATCTTGTCATGGCTCTTCCTCCTCACTTTTCATTGCTCTGCTCTACAATGGATTACATGAATTGTATTACGAATTAAAATATTGATAAAATAAAAGTCAATTATCAGGCTTTGATGTTAATGGAATTGTCAGTCTTTGCAGACTCATGAGCTGGAGCATTTATGTTGTATTGAGTCACTGAGTTTCTCATGACAACCTACATCACTGGGAAGGCAGCTGCCTTTCTCATGCACACATCCAATTAACGTATCATTTAATTAGGCCATTCTCACCATCTCTAGTCATCATGCTGAAGTTATATTGTAGAAGCAGCCAAAAGTCAAAAAGGAAATCAAAAGCATTTTAAGAACTATCATGTTCAAAATTAAACGTATCTCAAGGCACGAACTGCAATCAATTACTAAGTCCCAGTTTGGTTCATGCGTCAGCTGCATGATATTCTAATGTACACAAGAACATCTTGTTTAGCCAAATTCTTAACTGTAATGTATTCATTTGCTAGGATTAAGACACAAACCGCCTTTGCTGGATAATTTGGTAGTCAGTCCAAGCTGAATTATCGCCATTGGACACTGTTCTGGACTGGTCTGTGGACCTTAAGGGACCCATACAAAGCTCTAGAGTTTTGAGACTGTTAATTGATTTGGCCTCATAGATGGCTCTAACAGAATATATATCTCCCTTGAATGGGCTGCAGCAGGTAGACAACAATGAGTTGTTGAGGACAAAGCAGATCTGATAGAGAAGTTCATGTGGAGATGGATTCTTAAAACTCGTACATAAAATTCCAACTCCAAAAATCAAATCAATCTCAAACAAAGACAACAGCGGGTGTGGGGGCAGGATTTGCAAACTGAAGGGTAGACTCATATGATCTATAAGGAATTAGCCTTTGTTAGAAGTTTCTTTCAGTAAGGAATGGAATGTTAACAACACTTTAAAATTGAAGATAGGGCTTGTGGAAAAAATGAACTGATGAAAGCTCTGTACATGTCCAAATGTCATCTCAGAAAATCATAAGAAAATGTACTTAAGTTGATAATAAAATTGATGATAAAGTGGAACAAAAGAGGAATATTAAAATCAGAAGAAAGGTATAAGATGTTAAATTCACAAGTAAGTCAGACAATTGTTGAAAAAAGGATTTATAAAAAAATAGAATTACATTTAGCCCAACAAGATGAAGCAGAAAACCTTCAGGAAGTAGAAGAAACAAGAATTTTGAAATGTCTCTTTCAGCTGACAAGATGAGTAAGGCATTCAGATAGAGAATAGGAATCAGTGTCCCAGTTCTGCAGGTACTCCACAATAATTTGGGAAAGAAAGAAGATGGAGTATTACTTGGTCAGGACCTGAACACTGTAATGTAAAGCTGCATTCTAATTTCAGAGTTACCTGAAATTAGGGGATAATTCTTCAAAGGCTAGTGACTATTAGCTCCCATAAACCAATAGGTTTTCTTGCTCGTCTTGAATATACACTGCGTCTCTTATATACTATGAATCAAGTCTGTGTTTTGACCACTGTGGATACTGTTTTTATGGAAAATCTCTGGAATTTGAGCTTGGGCAATGATTATAGTAAGAACGTAGAATACAGTGAGATTTATTTATAGAACTAGGGAGTCTTAGATATTTCTTTCTTTTTTTCTTTTTTAAATGTTCAGGCTCCACCAGCATCCCTATATGGTGCTCCAGTTGGAGGCATAAAGGTAATGATTATGAGAATGTGGACTTCATCAAAAACCTTATTGATTTAATTAGTCTAAAGACCCCATTTTATCACGTTTCTAGGTAGCTACCTTGAGGTCACACTTCAATGATCTGACTCTCATTTTGGATTTACAACTAATTGATTCAGAAGGGGCTGGTATCTATAGTCCTGATAGACTGGATTCATTTTCACTATTGCCAGTAATTGCATAGACAGAGATTCTAAAATGGTTACACTGGCTGAGAATCATTAATGCAAGAACACTATAGTTTTGTGACCTGAAAAATAGATTTAAAAGACAGAATGAAAAATAAAAGCAGATTAGTAAAGAGAAAGATGGGAGAGTTGAGGAAGCTTTAGCAGAAATGAAAATCTTGATGAATGACAAGTGTCTGAATCAGCTGAAGAGAGATCATGCTGCACTAATTAAGCATGCAAATGGAGGTCTCTTTAGTATTTCAAATTGGCTTGCAAATTGGTTTTAAGAAGATGAAGATTTGGGAAGTAATTTGGAGTTAAGAGGAGAGGTAGAGCATTACAAACAGATATTATTCTCCTAATATGATAAAATAGTAGCAAGTTACTGTATGTACATTTAAAGATGAATCCGTAAGCTTAGACACAGAAAGTAATCAATTAGTTGTACAGTTCTGAAAGGTGGTTAAAATGGAAGAGACAGTGAGTTATATTGGGTAGTTGGGGTGGGATGGGGATTTACCATTAGTCTGCTGCTTCCAATCCCTGATAATGACAAAAAACATCACAACTGTCATCAAACAATAGTAATTTGTACACTGCAATTTTACCAGCCAAAATCTTTTCTTGGAAAATAGCTGGTTGGAAAGATTGTCACCATGGTTTTTGTCTGACTGATTTTTTTTTTTTAATTTGAGTATCCTTCAGGAAACATGGCTTTCAAGTACAAAAAATACTTAATTATTACTATATAGAACTTGGTTTGATCCAGCCTGGAATGCAAGCGGGGCAAGTGATTTGATAACTTTGGCTAAAGAAGTATTAAGCACCTTCACTGAGGTGAAGATGAAAGAGTGATTAATATTGTTGTCCCTCCAAACCATATTTTAGTTAAATATCCCAATATCTATTTTTTAATGAAAAAGTTTTAGAGGTTAAACTTTTTTATATGTTTGTATATCGTAATTTTTACTTGTTCATACCGTGTTTTATTGTATCTGCATTTGCATTTTATCATTTGCATTTTATTAATTGTTGTGAACTACCCAGAGAGCTTTCGCTACTGGGTGGGATAGAAAATAAATAAATAAATAAATAAGTGTATAAAACCCTAATCTTGGCAAATATTCACATTCTTCCGGTAATTCTCAGTATTATAACTCTAAGCTTTGGCTTCTCTTGGAACACATAATGGAAAATTTAAGTATATTATTTCTGAATGTATCGACCAACATGATGGGTAATTTTAATTCCAGAACTGGACCAACACCTGCAAAAGTAATGGAGTATTGGGGACTCCATGATGAATTCCAAGAGATTTATTATTAGCACTCTAGTAATAAGAAAGAAAAATGCCGCTGGTCAAACACTCTTGAGAGTATTTTATACCACTGGGCCACAGTTACTAGCTCCTCGTGACCCTAGATCCATATATCCCTGAACATATTTCACTCCTAATACAGGCAGTGTAATTGATTCTATTAGTGTGACAATACAATATGCGCCTTTGTTTTGTGGTGCAACGGTAAATATTAGAAAAGATTGTAATCACAAACCCATAACAACACAGCTAACTCTGGAATCTGATTTAAGTCAATGACCCTGGTAGATGAGTTGAGGCATACAGAGCTTGGAATCAAGGCATGAGAAAAGATTGAGATGGAAAACAATTGAATACATCAAATCTTAATCTTTTTTTGAATTAAAATGTTGGAAAAACCTGAAGAGAAACTTTTGTTCCCTTGAAGTTAACACAGAGGGTGTCTTACTCAAATACCTGGACATTTGTTTCCAGATCAAACACTTGTTATTAACCATGACTAGCCCAAACAGCTCAATGAAGAAAAAATCCCTTTTGTTTAATATAGAACATGGAAAGCTCAGAAAGCACTTCAGAAAATAAATGAGAAAAGTGTGTGATACTCAAGATGACAAAGTTTATATTCTCTGGTGAAATTATTAAAACAGACAACAACAAACCTAATCTCAACAAAGAAAATTTATTATGCTTCTAAAAGGTGGACAGATTCAGAGCTGGAGTCCAGGAATAAAAATTCAGCATATTTCTGGTGGCTAGACTCTGGTAGTTTTAGTGAATCAATTCACACTTTCAAGATACCTATTATCTGCTTCAGTTTGGGAAGATATTTATTTGGATATATTTTAGAAAAAAAACCTTGAAGAAAATAAAATCTCACATGTGGAAAAATATGGGAATACAAAATAACTTCTGTTACTATGCAGAGAAATAAAGCCTCGAATAAGCTATTAGTGAATAGTAAGGTATCAGGTGAGGATTTTATGTCTCCGAGTTCTTCAAGAACTGGAGATCCACCTTATTAGCTGGATGGTTTACCTATATAAATAATACAGGATATAACCCTAATGGCTGGAAATTTAGTGGTTCCATTCTCAAAAGCAGTATATCCCAGAAATTATACATCTATTAGTTTAACTGACATATCTTCAAAAATATGTGCTAAGTTTATCTTCTAGAAATTTGCAGTTGGGCAGAACAAAATTCATTTTTAATGGATGAGCAGGTCAGCTTTAGATAGGCAAGCTCTGACATTGACAATTCTGCTGGTCAATGCTGTGTATTTTATCCCATTTGATATTGAAATATACTGTGGAAGATAGAAAGGTCTTCACAGTATTTA